GCCGGCCTTTTTGAATCTTTTCGAGTTCATATTTGGATAGAGCATGAAAAGCTGCATCGAACTAATATAGTCTCACTTAAGTTCAAAAGTGTTCAGTGCACTAGGAACTCTAGAAAGAGGGATACCCAGGCTTACCCCATCAAGATTCTGGTCGTATTTCGCTGCCATAAGCAGCTAAGCATTACGGATAGTCTTTATTCATCTAGATTCGGATAGAGTTTAAAATTTTGCACCTAAAAATGCTTTTTCAGACCTTCTAGAGACTAGTGTATGCGAAAGGAGGGTCAAAAACTCGGCTCGAACCTAAAAATTTACATATAGGAAAAAATGGTCCAGTTTTTCAGCACTACATTTTTGAACTTTGAGATTGCGATATTCGTGATCAGCATCGCCGACTTGTCAGTTTTAATCACTTTAAAAAAGAATTTTGAAAAAAAATTTCTTCGAAACCCTGTAGGGGGGTACAGGGACCAAAAACCCGAAAGTGATTTCAAGGAAAATCACCATGCTAGATTTGTAGCCCATATCGATCTTATAACACTCATATAGTTTTTTCTTGAAAATATCTGGGTATGAAAAGTGGCCTTAACGCCACTCGTCCTTTATTTATTTTCTTTTAGGTATTAATAAACCTAAATTAGAAAAGGAAGAACTAATTCAAGTACTTCAAATTGATAATCAACAAGTTCGACAACAACAAATTTAAAAAATAAAAAATAGTGAAACAACAACGTAACCAATCAAAGATTTATTTCAATATTATTATTATGATTGTTCATTTTAAAACAACTAATATTAATTGTTTCTACGTTAATCAATGTCTTGAAAAATTACGAGAAGTAGCTCGTGATAAATCTGGTTCAGGAAATATACTTGAAGCTAATATTGAGGCTGCTCGTGCTCGTTGTACACTTGGAGAAATATTTCAAGCATTAGAAGATGCTTTTTCTCGTCATGTTGCTGAATCAGGTCTAGTCAGTGGAGCATATAGAAAAACTTTTGATGATGGAAAAAATAATAATGAACTAAAACAAGTTATTGATCGAGTTGAAGTTTGTTTTTTTTTTAATTTTTGATTTCTTCAAATTTTCTATTTTAATTATTTAAAAAGAAATCTGCAAAACTCGAAGGTCGGCGTCCTCGAATACTCGTAGCAAAAGTTGGGCAGAATGGACTTGATTGAGGAGCTAAAGTGATTGCATCAGCTTTTACTGATGTTGGATTTGATGTTGACATTAGTCCTTTATTTGCTGCAAGCTTTTTTTCTTTTTCTTTATATTTAAATTAATTATATTATAAAATATTCTTTTACAGACTCCATCAGAAGTAGCACGTCAAGCCATTGATGCTGATGTTCACATTGTTGGTGTTAGTACATTAGGAGCAGGACATAAATCTCTTGAACCTGAATTAATAAAAAAACTTAATGAATTACGTACACGTGATATTATTGTTACTGTTGGAGGAGTTATTCCACCTCAAGATTATCAACAATTATATGATCAAGGTGTTAAACTTATATTTAGACCTGGTACACGTATTCCTGAAGCAGTTATTCAAATTCTCGGTCATATTGAAAAAACATTTAATTCATCAAACAAACCAAAATAAATTATTTTATTGATTAAATTTATTTTCAATTTCCACTATGGATATTCTATTTCATCAAACAATTACAAATCAAGAAAAAGAAAAACATTACCTAGAAAACTCTAGTGGAATAAAAGATTAATATATAGATTTATTCACTATGCACATCTTCAACATTTATTATCCCTTTAGTTTTACTTTTACTCAAATTTATAAAAATTAAACTCGCATTTAGTTAATAAACATTTATTCTTCTCATCGAAAGACATTCTTTTTTTATTGATAAAATTTTAGAAAAAAGGAAAAAAATTAGTAGACATAATTTATTTATGTTTATAATTGAAATAAGACTAACACAATGAAAGTTTCTTCTGCTAATTAAATTCTATTTATTTAATAAATAAATCATATTAAAAATATTTTCTTATTAGATTTAAAAACTAATTCAATTCTTTTAAAAATCAATCTTAGTCTGAAATATATTTCAATCAAATCAAATTTTCAAGATATTTTATGAAACAAATAAAGAGTCACTTAATAAATCAAAATTCTCGCTATGACTTTATTTTACATAATTAAATTTTGTTTTTATTTGAATGAGCATTTTTATAACTACAGTACAAACTTTTCTTTTTTTTAAATGATTACTTTTAGTAAATCGATAAATGTTTAAAAACTCAATAAATTGAAAATATTTCAAACAATATTTATTTATTTTAAAAAGTTGTTTTTTTTTTTTTCAAATAAAATAATAAAAATACCTTTTGCCTCTTCATATACTTTTACAAGCACGATAAAAACACAAAGAAAACTATATTCTTCAAATAGAAAATAATGAAAATGATCAAATATTTTTTGACAAGATAATTTGCCTAAAAGAAAATCATATTATTCTTGAAAGATTAGATTAGCTATTATTTTTTCATGAATTCATTGTAATTTTTTTAAGTCTAACAAAAACAAACTTCCTTTAACGAAAGATAAAACAAAGCTTATATATTTCTTTAAAATATAGATTATTTTCTTATGAAAAAGTAAAATAAGAGATGAACCTTGTGATATACAGGGTGGCCCATAAATAACACGGCGATAAGAAATTCGAATATCTCCATTACGGCTCGAGCAAACGTGCTGATTTTTTTACCAGTGATAGAGGCATGTACCAAGTTTATATCCA